CGTGGATGTGATCCTGTGTGTGTGGATGGAGTTTTGAAGCCTCACACAAGACTTCTCTTGCAAGGCCAACGCCGAAAAAGACAGGTCTCGTTTGACACGCGTTGTGGGAACTCGACAGTACTATGAGAAGGGCAAAAAGGAGGAGAGTCAGACTGCGGAGCGGCGAAAGCCGCAGAGAGACAGATAGATAGACCTTGTGGAAAGTCAATTCGTTTGAACCGGTAGTCTTGTGTCACTTCTTCCCTCCCCTCCTTCTCTAGACTCTCTTGTGCGGTCGTGGTGGTGGTGGACTAACGGCCGAAGGTTGCTAGACTGCCCTTTCTTTCCTTGGCTGCCGCCTCTGTTCAAGGGACACGAAACATGGGCCACTAACGTCGGAGGCGCGGATGGGGTTTTTGAATCATGGAATTTGGAAACAGAAGAGGAGGATGCCGGCGGCACCTGGAGACACCTGGAGCTAGGAACTTCAAGGAAGAAGGCTTATTGTTGTGTAGCCGACTAAGAGCCGCGGGGGAGGCTAATACAAGCGTACGGATACTGAACAGAGATGTCGATGGGATGAATCGAGCTAGACGTACTGGTATTATGGAGACAGTCACGGGCTGAACGGCTGTCGTTGTATGGGAAGCAACGTCTTTTTTCTGCGCTTTGTCCCAGAAATAAGTTGTCAAAATCGGACGATTCTCAATGACGGCGTCGTTGTCGTGATGATGATCGTCGACCGTTGGACCAAGCCCTTTGGCCAAAATCCGATGGGAGCGAGAAACGGTTCCGTGCGGGATTGAACAAAGAGCGGCCATGTGGTAGTGGTGGTGGGAAAGAGTTCGTCCGAATTAAGGTCGTATAAGCTTTAACCTGGATTGAGTGATTGGATTGGATCTGTGTGAGAGGCTGGGCGGGAACGGTGGGTGGACGGGGGGGACAACCTTGACGAGGACAGGGAGCCAAGCAAGAGCCGACAACGACGACGCCAGGTACAAGCACAAGGAACACGCACACCTCCAGCTTTCCCGTCATGACTTCGGTGATATTTGATGGAGGAGGGGCAGTGAAGGGATCCCATTCTGGTCCGTCCTATTCACAATGGTTCCTATCTTGGAGTGAGATAGCGAGTGCGGATCATCCTCTTTCTCCACGTCTGCCTTGCCCGGTGCCATCTTGGCCAGGGCTTTCGCGTCTACCCCCCCATGCCCGCTTCCCCACCAGGCCGGGTGATCTGCCAGGTATTTGGCAGCAGTATGGGAAGCTCGGGGCCGTTCGTGAGCCGTGACGGCGATCGGTGCGGGATGGGAAATCCGAAAGAGACAGAAGGAGAGAGCGAGAAAGAGGTGAGAAGGGAAAATGCGTACGATAACCATGGCATGGGGGGGAAAGGAAGCGGGACATGGGCAACCCTGTTCACCTGAGCGACAGTCTCGGGTCCGGCAGCTTGACGTCGATCACGGATGTGGGCGAACTGACTGCAGCTCGACAGGGGGGATGCAGAGAGCCAAAGTGGGTTAATAGTGACAGATTCTCTTTGCTTGGCAATATCCATACGGGATATTCACCATCTAGCATATGCGATGCGGTGCTGGGTTGCGAAGAGAGAGACGGGATTTGCCCATCCTCCATCCTTCCATCATCCACTTCCTCGCCGGCTACTGGAACTGAGCCAGGCACACCACTCGATATGGAGACCACTACGGATACCTATCCACAATGGATTTTGACGACCGAGAAAAGAGACACACGGACGAGACGGCAGACGCACGGATTCTCGGGTGCCTGAGTTGGACGACTGGGGATGGCGGCGCGCGCGAGGCTGTTCAGCGGGGATCCCTTTGGACGGCGGCGCGCCAAGTAGCGCGTGTTGTTTAGACGCGAGTGTGTGTTTTTCTCTCTTTTACTTTGCTAACGCTGGATCAGATGCCGACGACGCTAGCAGTTTTTGATAGTTTGCCTTTTGCCCTTCCCTTTGGCTGTGGCTGGTCAACATTGGACCAAATGTTTTGAAAGGGTCCTTCTCGTCTGACTCTATTTCGCGTTCTTTGCCCTCTCGAACCAGTCTCTATCAGTCTGGCGTCCGTCCTGTTTCCCGGGCCTAACGTAGGACCGGAGAGGGTGCAAGAAAAAAAAAGCCTCCAAAAGCATCGGAATCGGAGACTAAGGCTGGCCGACAGGTTATAGCTCGTCCCAGGAATCGGAGGACTTGCAGCAAGCGTGCAGCAGCGCCGGGGACCAGCCCAGACTGAAAGATTGAAGGACGTCTAGACATAGTAGACAGCGGCACAGCCAAGCCCAGGCGGCGAGCCGGCGAGCCACCACAGACGGGAGTTCTAACTTGTTGGTAGGCTAGAGAGGGGTGGCGTAGAGGCGTAGAGCACCTCGCCGGGCCTCTTAGGGCGTGGGCAAGATGAGAATGATGGTCGACATGGGTCCTGGATGAGAGAAAGAGACACAGCCGTACATACCTAGTAAAAGAGACAGAGAGAGAATATGGTGACGATGAATATGATGGAGAGGGGTGTGTGTGTGTGTGTGTGTGTGTGTGTGTGTGGGTGGGTGTGGATGGTTTACTGATGAGCCGCCCTGCCCTTGTCAATGATCTTTGGGGGTCTAAACATGGATGGCCAATGGTGTCTGAATCTATCCCCGCTTTTCCTTTCAAGCGTGCCTGCGTGCCTTGATCGCAGCCCTTGTTGGTGGCTTTCTGGGAAGGGCTGTCCAGGGTCCCCGTCATGTTCCCATTGTGTCGAGGCTTTTGAATGGGGGGGAGAGAAGACATGGGACTCGTCGACTCGATGAGTGAGGGGAGGGCGTGAGTGAAAGGGTGGATGAGATGAGATGAGATTAGATGACATAAGCACTCTCACACAACATCAAAAGGCTTCTCACATGAGCTGGGAACCAATGAGATGAGGGATCAACGGCAGGCATCTCGTCGATGAGTCTTGCCAATTGGCCGATCTGGTTGGTGGAGAAGCGGCAGGCCCATGTTCTGCCCGTTTTTGCCGTGTCCAGGGCCTACAGGTGTGTGTGTGTTTCTGCCATTCTCCCGCCCATTCGCCAATTCAATCACCCTCCATCCTTCTCTCTCATCTCACTCACACTACCCACCTTGCTCACAGTGAGAGAGCGAGTGAGTGAGTGAGAGAGAGGTAGCAACACCAACACCGAAAGAAACGCTATCAAATCTCACATCGCCCAATATTCAGCCCGTCGTTAACTTACGGTGCGTCCCTGACTCAAGCGACCCGAGTCGAACGATAACTTTCCGTCGCTCCATCATTTTTCCCGCCTTCTCCCTTCTCAACCTTTTTTTTGCTTGCAAGCTTGCCGTCTGTCTATCTCTTGCCAATGGCTTTCTGCCTTGGTGCGCTTCTTTCTCACACAACATTCCGGTCATTCTTACTCGTTTTGGTCCTCTCGCAGTTCTAGTCCCCTCTGGCTTGGAGTCCGTCTCCTTCAGAATCGCTTCATCTTTGCTTTTTGCACATCTCTCATCTGCATCGTCCCTGTTTCAGCGCCTCTTTTCCTCACTCACTCACCCACCACTATTATCCATCATAACAGTGAGAGAGAGTAGTAAGTTGAGACCAACTAGCCATGCCGTACCAAGTGAAAATGTGCATGCATACCTTACGTCAGGTAAATCTTCTTCCACCTCACTGTGCGAGCTCCGTGTCAAGATGGCATGCGGATTCGACCGGGGTCCGCAGCGCCGGACTACTGGGTTTTGCTTTTCTTGCCTCTCTCTTTCTTCCTTCGCGTCCTGCGGCCTGCTCTTCAGGCCCTCGTCACTTTTCACATTTTCTGCACTGTGTCTCAACTGCATCATACATACTCCGTCGTCAGCAAGAGAGAGAGGAAGAGGAAGAGGGCCGATTATTGCCCAAAGGCAAAAGAGCTTGCATCAGGGGGGCAGAGGGGAGGCCTGTGCCTGGTGTCTCACACCACAGCTGGCCAAATTCTCGGCCAGTGAGTGTCGTACGTATCAAGTTATCACTTCTTCCATTCCTTGACAGGCGTGTCTCCATTCCCCAAGGTTACACACATTCAAACATAGAGCCAGATGCTGAAAGACATACACGGCAGCCAACTACGTCTGGGCGTCCCCACTCTCACACACACTCTCTCGCGGCCTCCCGTTCATCCCAGTCTCCCCTTCCCCTCCGCCCAAGGCTATCTCACAGACATACGCTTTCTCTGTCCTCTCTGGAACCCCACCACCACCACCACCACCACTACCACTGCAGCTGTCTGTCCCGCTCGCCATGGGCTGTTTTTGGCCCGCGGTGTCATGTACCTTTGATAGCTAGCCAGCTAGTAGTAGAAAAACCGGAGACGCGTTCTTGCTCTCACGTCTGACAATGGGGCCCTTCCGGCCTCCCTGCTTCTTTCCGACCTCACCAGTGGAAGTCTACCGGTTGTCTTGCAATGCTCGGACGTCCAAATCTGGAGATGGATACAGAGAACGATAGAGCCATGTCTCCGAACCAAGATTCAAGAGCGTGTGGATTGTCAACCATCCACCCTACCCCCCCTTGTCGTCCATCATCCTCACCCTTCACCAACCCGCGATCCTTGAACAAGCAGAAGCGGTTCATGCAGGTACTCTTTCTTCTTCGTCGAATGTGTCCCCCGGTTGGTTCTCCGAGTCTCCAGCTGCCTGGCAGCAGTTCCTCGGCCGTGGTCAACCCCGGTCAAAGTTGACTCGATCACTACGAATCCCCCCCAAGGACAAGGGTAATCCACACAAACTGCAACCCAAGATAGAGTAGGATTTTGGCTGTCTGGGCTTGACGAATGGGTACTTTGATCATGATGTATCCGTATCCCAGCAGCCCCAAACTTGGACTCGGCTGTGTACCCTGCCAGTTGCTCCAGATTTGGACTCTTTGCTTTCTCAACTCAGAACCCATGCAGACAGGCATAGCCCTGAGCCTGTCCCTCTATCTCTCTCTGTGTCTCTGTCTCTCGCCTGCCATGCCGGGATCAAGAATCATAGGCGAACAAGAGAGCAACTGGCTCGAGCTTGTCTTTTTGGATCAACAGCTTGAGCCGCCCAGAGTACCGTACCTGGTTCAGCTAATCCATTGATCTGACACCTATATGTACGTGGGTCTGCGTTCATGGACCGGGCGATCGTCTCATTGTTTCTCAGGGACGACGAAACATACTGGACTGAACTGGACTGGACCCTCTTCTTCCCGCCGCAAGAAACGCTCTTCTGCTTTAGACCCTCACCATCCTCTCGTCCATAGATTGGTGGATCCCGCGAAGGAGATTAGAGCCTCTCTCTCTGTGTGTCTCTGCCTTCCCCTCCCCTCCTCCCCCACCACCACCACCATCACGTCTTCAAACTCCACGCCCATTCTTCCCACACCTACACCCCCCGGCTGGCTCTTCGCAGCTCTCCCTCCCACGCTCCACTCCACCTCCACTATCACGTACTCAGACCTCGATACATTCCTATCTGGGGCTCTCTGTCTCTCCCAGCTGTTGTATTGATGACACTATTTCCCCAATTTGTGAGAATATACCTGTCCATCACTCTTTAGGGGCGTCATCTTCATCTCCGTCCCCCTCCGTCCCACGATATAATACTGCCTCGACTGCTCGTCTGTGGAACGCTTCCATTATCCCATCATTCTTCATCTTACTTTTAACCGGACAACTCGCTCCCTCTTCAGAAACGAATTCACCCCCTCTCTCGAACAACAGCGAGTAAGCAACAACAATCAACAACATACACACACTCTCACACAATGATGTCGCACTCGCACCTCTGGCAACAGGAGCAGGACCACTCCATTGAGGGAATCATGGAGACCTTTGGTGGCCCCGAGACCAGCTTTAGCTTTGACGGTTCCATGAGCTGCGGGACTACAACACCAAGCTTCTCTGCCGCCTCCTCTGTCTACGACCCCAACGGCCCCTTCACTCCTCGCTCTGGCCGCTCAACACCTCACGATCACAGCCAGTCCAGCATTGACTTCGACGCTTCCTTCTCCTCCCACAGCTCCTTCACCTTCGACCATGCCCCATCACAAGATCACAAGGGTTACTTCCCCAAGCCCGACGAGGTGAAGATCCAGATGCCCATGCAGTATGCCTCAACACATGTCACCCCCTCAAGGAGGCAGAGTGCAGGCTACGGCATGGACCATCTTGACTACAACACAATGCTTCACGTTACCCTCAACTCCCACTGCATGCCCGGCATGTCCTCGCCTCACCCTCACCAGCAGCAACACCAGCACCAACAACATCACCACCACCATGCTGAGCAATACTCTCTTCACCCGGAGCTGAGCTCATCACCCTTCGTGATGCCGACTCCCCACCGCGGCCTCCCGAGCTCCACACCCAGCAACGCTCACATCTGGTCCTGCAGCAGCGAGAGCCCCATCATGATGTTTGGCAATGAGGCTACGCCCTCAACGTCGCCCCTTCAGGCCATGCATGGCGGCAACAGCAGCTCCGTCAAGCGCGAGACCACAGACTCCCCTATCCCCCGCCTCACTCCCCCCTCAGCGGCTGCATACCACCACCGCCAGGACCCCAGGCGCAAGCTCTTCGCTGAGGTCCAGCGCAAGACCCTCGCACTCCAGAAGAACCAGAACGACATGGAGGCCCTGCGGCAACTGAGGTCCATCCAGGTCAACCAGGATGGCTCTGTCCTCGAGTGCGGCTCAATGAAGGTCCGTCACGTGGCGCCTAGACGGGAGCGTTGCACATATCCCGACTGCACCAAGACTTTCAAGAGAAAGGAGCATCTCAAGCGACACTTCAAGGCGTAAGTATTTACTTCATTACTCAAAGCCACAATCACAACGCCGCTAACACATGTTTCAGCACCCACGAAAAGGAGGTTGAGCTCTACACGTGCCCTGCAACAAATTGCAACCACGTGTTCAAGGAGCGCCGCGACAACTTTGTCTCCCATCTCCTTCTCCACAAGCAGGGCAAGAGCAGCAGGACGCCGTACAACGAAAAGGCCGCCAAGCTCTACGACGAGATGTGCCTGCAGAGCAAGAGCCGCAAGCGCGTCAAGACGGGCACCAGCTCAAGCCCCAGCAGTAGCGGCAGCAACAAGAACTGAGAGAGAGAGAAACATCAAAGTTTCTTACTCTATCTCTACTGCTCTGCTGCTGGAGTGAGACACCTCGAGCCGGGGTGTTACGGGACGTTTCCTGGGGGCCACTGGGAACTCGAGAGCCACTCCGGCCGAGAAAGAGGGGCAGCGAGAAACGCCAAGTCGGGATTTCCCATGGCGATAGGCTGCTTCTCTTTATTTCCAAGACAATTCCCAGGATCCCCAACGAGGATGCGAACGCCACTTCTCTGCATGTTGCTCATCCTTGCAACATTGCTGCAACAAACACAAATCTTTTTTGCCTTTCCAACCTGTAATAATTCTGTTGCACGAAACATTGCCTTTTTTCTTGGGCGTACATTTGGCAAACCGTTTGGGTGTATTTTGTCACTTTTTGTTTATTTCTACGTTACTTGTTTCTCTACTGTATGGATCAAACTGGGGAGGATGCTTTTGCTTATCAGAGAGAGACGCTTGGAATTCCCATCGGAGGTTGTCAACACATCCCGCCAACCGTCCCTGCGCAACGACTTTACATGCATTTTTACGATTGCCGCGGAGAAATATCAACCCACACACAAACACACTGCAACCTACACACACAAAAAACTCACAAGATTTACATATATTCTTAACGATTGAAAAGACGTTCCAAAACGAAGTCGTATGAGTACCAATCAAAAACATCGGCGGGAGTGGGAGAGAGAGAGGGGAAGGAGGATACTAAAGGGAAGATCCTGTCTCTGGCGCGAAAACTAGGAGTAGGGGATACCGGGAAGGAGGCCAACTTTGTCTTACTTTTGGGGGTTCAAACGGCGAAAAATGGGGACACGGGAGGGGAAGAGTGGTCTATTACTCTGTACTGAATAACTACCCTTTTCTACTGGGTTTGCGAGGATACGAAAGAGATCACTATTGTTTCTACAGTTTAGATTGTCACTACTGAGAAATGTGAGAGATAACAAGGTTCGAAGATCAAAAGATGAAAGAAACCCGATAGTTTCCCCGAGTGCGGGTCTTTGATCACTACATCCAGGCACTTTACTGCCTACTTTACGTACTGATGATACGAAGAAAGCTGAAGTCCGAGAGCAGAGCGACGCAGGATAGGTGGCATCCGAACTCCTATCACATCTCGTCTGCATGGCGTGGACTTGACAGGTTAAGCTGTTGGGGAATCTCATCCTTCAGCTACGTCTTTGCAGTCTCCCAAAAAGTAAACCAGTCTAGACTCAATGGAGACGATTTTGCCCGTCAGAATCTTGGTACTGCTTTGATGTATGCATACCTACTGCAGGTGATATCTGATTTTTTGGGCTCGATACTACCCGATCTCGTAGGATCATCTTGGCCTTGTGGGAGACCGTGGTAGTGGTCAACGCGTAACTATTGTAACAGCGTTGCAATCATCAATCTGACAACGGACAACCTTCAGCTGAGGTGCCCTCTCGTCCCATTCTCGTCTCGGTAGGTGAACTTGACGATCACCGCCCGGGTCACCCAAGATTCCCCACTTTCAAACGCGTATGTGGTCGAGGTGGAACCGTGGACGGGTGATGGAATAGACAGGGCCAGGGGGTCAAGATCAAGGCACGGCCAGAGCGAAGGCATGCTTGTCTCAGATTTTGGCGTCGTTCCTTTTCCTCTTTCTCTCTCTTTCTCTCTCTTTTCTGCTGCAAGAGTCGAGACTACAAGGCACCACCGCTACTTTTCTTGCTCCATCCGCCAAGGAGGAACGTCAAGAGAACTAGGTAGGGGTTAGGGTTAATGATGGGGACGAACGTGCTTGATAGCCTCTCTTATGGTCTTATTCCATGCTCTTGTCCAGGACCAGGGCTATGACGAAAACTCTCTTTCTGCCTCTTTTCGCCCAGTCAGGCTCTCGTAAGTTGCCCCGTCGTGACCTGGACTCGTGGACGATCCGGGACGCGAGTCGAGAGCCGGGAGCGGGCGGGGAGGAGAGGGGCAAACGGTGCGGTTCAGGCCGTCAGGGTTTTGGGGAAACGTTCATTTCGGGCTAGATGGGGAGAGAGAGAGAGAGAGAGAGACTACGGATACTGGTCTATGGCTTAGTTCATCGGCGTGTGTGGTTAGTTCAACCGTAGTTGCGTAGTTCAAAAAATGCCCCCATTCTTACAGGCAAGCTTCCGTCATCAGGATTACGTCCCGCGCGAATCGGGATGATTGACGGGATCACGAAATAGGGTTGGTGGGAAAGCAGGGGCAAGGTAGGTTTTACGAAAAGAGGTATCCATCTATGGCAGAAAGTTGGGACCTGGTGGTACAATGGTTGCTCTGGAATCTAGGGGGCCTCTTGATAGTTTCGACAGGGCGACGAAGGTTACGAACCGATGCGAATGATGGAATGGACAGGGGCAAGATGATCAGAGGCAGGGGAGGGGGAACCAATCGACCAGGGGCGAAGGGGAGAGAGAGAGGAGGATGAACTTGGGAGGAGGAGACAGCAAGCCTGACAGGGTCAAAAGCCGATGCCCGATGGGCAGAAAAAAGGCGGGAGTCGGTCATTTTGAGCAGGGCCACCCCGGACGAAAGAGAACTACTGTAGCCTGGCAAGCCTGGGTTTGCCCTGTAGGTAGCAGCCAGAGTGACTGGACGACGTGACATTTGACAGGTGACTCCGAATTGCAACATAGGACGAAAGAGAAATCTCCGTCTGGCCTCTTGTGTTTCGAAACGGATCGCCCAATCGTGGGAGCCTCGTGGTTGGTCGGGAACGGAGGGCTGCTGTGTAACTATTCCCATGTGGTCAATCTTTCCTTTCCTACGTGACGGGGGTTCGCTTTGATTGGCGATGAAAGAAAGACGAGCCGAGGGCGTTTGCATGGCGATGAAAGACAGCAGCAGCAGCAGCAGCGAATTTGACTCAGGAACGCAGGGCCTTGTGCTGTGCAAAACGGCGAGAGAGCGAGTGAGTAGCAGGGCAGCGGGGAAAACTACAACTCAATCTCAGAGAGTGAGACGAGACTGAACACTGCTTCTCTCGGTATTACGGGCGCAAAGCGTGTTTGATTAAGCAGTGCTGCAGTTGAACCACACACGCACACCATACTCGGTACACACTCGCACGTACGGAGTACTCCACCCCGGAAATGCCTAGACCTTGGTGACCTTGTCCGAACGGCCGTTCCGGTGCAACAACTGGTCGAGAGATGAGATGAGTCGAGGTTCGAGAGCTGATGGATGGGCAGCTGGGGGTTCCCAGGTCCAGAGGTTGGCAGGTTGGTAGGGTGGTAGCGCGTCCAGGCAGCCCAGTCAGGCTGGCCTGAGCGTCGGCATTCGGAGCCTGCGGCGACCCTGTCAAACCGTCGATCTTGACCATATTCTCGGGATATGGGCAGGGGAGGGGGTTCGTCGCTCAGCGCTGTCGACGTCGACGTCGTCGCCGTCGTTACACAGGCACGACAGGTTACCCTGCCAGGAGAGGTATGGCGCTGGTGCTGCTGGTGCTACTATTGGTGCAGTGCTGCTCTCGCACGGGATGGGATGGCAGTGTTCCACTGAAGATGCAAAAATGTCCGCTGTCGGTGGGCAAGCTGCAGGCAGGCCAGCATGCAGGAGTCCAGGACAATGATAGGTAGGACAGCGGGAATTTGTCAGGACGAGATGCATGTGTCCCCTGTGTCCCCTCTGGCCTTCTGCTCACCCCTGGTGCCCTGGTGCCCTGGAAGGGACAAGAAAATCCCAAGAGGGCGCGGCGTTCGCAAGGGGGGCGGCATGCAGCCCATCGGATTCGGGCAGCCGCTGCATCTGGTGTGCTGCAGCATCTCATCGTGCAGAGACATGGGCAGTGGGACCTCGTGTCACCAAGGCAAGGTACCAGGAGTTGCAGAGCGAAAGGAAGAAGGCTGCTGTTGCGACTTCGGGGAGTACGACGTACGTACGAGATAAGAACCGGGAAGTTGTCCATGTGCCGAGGTAACGTTATCAAAACAAGGCCTAATCCTTCTGAGGCATCTTTTCGTCGTTTCTCTTAGCGTATGCCGTCCGGTGGAAGTTGAATGCGTGAGGGTGGGACGGGTGGACGGGCGGACGCTTGACAAGCAAGATGCGGCAGAGGAGAGGATCGTTCGTGGTCGTTAGAATATGCCTCAATCCATTGGGGTTTCCGGTTAGGTTCGTTTAGTCGTTGAGTCAGTGATTCAGTCTATTGCGGGCATTCGCGCTGCACTACGCGGACAGAGGTACTTTGGAGAGCTTGGAGCTGTGTGGCTAGGATGTGTGCCTTGTTTTCCATGTCAAAGAGGTTGACTAGCCGCACAGAGATGAGAATAACAAACCATGATCCGTTAGATGATGTCGTGACGGGGTGGTTGTCTGGTCAGAAGGATGATGGTTTTCTCATTCGGGGGCTGGTGAATGGATGAACTAAGATGTGTGGTCATTGGTGTGGTGGACCTACGGAGCTGCGTCCGTAGTTCTTCTGATGGTGTCACCAAAGCGCGAGGGAAAACCTACGGTTACTCTGAACTTTTTCCTGGTGTGGGAAGCCGTTAGGTGCGCCGTGCGACGATGCGGGGACAGCGCCGGCTGTCGGCCGGGTCTCGGCCTCTTGGGACCATCGGATGCGGGGGTACAGACGGAGCGGGATTGGCTGGAAGCTTACGAGCCACGGAGTGGAGACTCCGACGCAATTGGCTGTGTGGGCACCAGGCCGGGGCGCAGCTCCGGAGACTTAGCGCCGAAGGTGGCTTGCAAGCTTAGAAGGACCCTGGCCGTTGTCATTTTTTGCTGGTCGGACCCGCCTACCGCACACGGCTCCGCATTGCGTGAGCTATCAGACGGACTCGGCTCGCGTAGACTAGAACTATCGAAGTCAATGTTAGCTTCGGGATATGTCGTCTCGTGAGGTTAGCTGGGAGGATACTCTGGCGTGACCTTACGGCACTCCCGTCCATTGCCAATGCCGGCTTTGCCGCGTTAGCCACGGGAAGAAGACGCCGGACACGCCGGGGGCTCCCGAGGTACGTATCCATCGACGGCTTAGGTAATTCGGGACCTTCCAGCTTCCAGCGGAGATGTTTCTACCTTAGGTAAGCACGCGCTACGGTCACGGGTTCGCACTTTCGCCCGGTTGACGACGGCATTCTTTTCCGAACCCCGCGCATTCCTGTCTTCGGATTTCCCACACCTCTTGGCCCTGCAGTGTACGGATTACGGATATTACCTTGCAGTCGTACAGTCAAACCCTTGGTCATCTGCGATACGTGCGGGACGGACAAACCGCGTTGACATGCGTGCATGCATAGCCCCAGCCTCGAGCTGCTGCTGACGTCAACCAACACCACCCGACCGATCGCCCAGAACAAGGCAAGCCAGGCGAAGAAAGCAGACACGGCAGAGCAAGCAGATCACTGAATGTGAGGCGACAGAAGCAATCGGGGCAATCTTACACGCCCAGTCCCAGACTCCCAGCAATGATTGCCCGACAGTCGTCACACGCAACGAACAATCACCTCAACAGCACCGCTCCCATGCCCTACCACTGTCGCCGGGCGCTCCCATGTCAACCACGTGTCTACCCCGTCTGAAGGCTCGTCTTTGCTTCGGGACGATTGCGGCTTGTCGTTGAACTTCATCAAAGCAGATCTGCTGAAGGTCATCCTCAACGATTTCCAACCGGCGTGGCTTCGACTTCATTCCTGCATTTGCCCCCTACTTCTCAGCATCCAGCGTCGCTGCATCGCCTCTCGAGCACAACCCCCGATAGCCCGCTTTCAAAGAACTGTCGATATCCTGCTGGGCCGCAGCCTGGCCCGCGCGCCATTGTTCACTGGAACGGAATCCGCATCATTCTCATGTCTGGCGACGACCATCCCACGACTCTCACGCCATTTTGCTTTTCCCAGCCTCAGTCTCGTGGATGCCACACTCGCACTTTTCCATATTGCGACTAGCTGCGCATGCCGTCCGTAATGCAAGCTTCACATCGACCATCGACTGTTTGATCGGCCGCTGTAACGTATCGCCCGTTCATCTCGCTCCAGCACGATTGTCAAGCAGTAAACGCACCCACGTTTGCTTCTCTGCATCGGCGGCTGTTTCGGCCTGGACTGGTCCCCAAACCAGTAGAGAAAGGCAGCAAGCTGTTTCATTGTCTGCTACATACCCCATGATCCTGGCATGGGAGTCCCAAGTGGTCTCAAGTAGAAGGTGTGAACAAAGCCACCAACACCATCATGGCCACGCTGCCATCGTATCAGGATGCCGTCAGTAAACTCGACTGGCTTGAGTTGGTGGCACCATACGTTGCAGACAAGGACTTTACTAGTCTTTGTTCTGTGAATCAACGTTTCCAAGCCGTCTTCGCACCCCGCCTTTGGAACGATCCATTAGTCGCCGTTCGACGGTTGGGACTGGATCCAAGTGACGGTAAGTTTGTCTCAACCTACACCCGTCAAACTAAAGAATACCATTTGCTGACGTTGTTGCTACTATTTCGGTTGAGTGTTAAAGACCTGGAATGGTACCTAACATTTATCTTCGACCGCATGCAGCGCCTGCGGCCAAAGACCCTGGCTCTGATCATGACGCTTGACTTTCGCGAGTTTGCAAAAGACACTGCCCACTTCTCGTCCGACAGCAGCAGCAGGACAATACCTCACACTTTGCGTCAACTCTCCAAGACATTGCCGAATCTCAGATGCATCCTCTTAGACGGACATGCCGAGGCGGACCCCGCCTTCTTGGCTTCCATCCCAGCGTCCGAAGCAAACATGACACCACCAGAGTCTCGTCAAGGCTTGTTGGTTCTTAGTGTCGCTCATTGTCAAAATCAACTCCCCAACGGCTTCTATGCGTCGGACAAGCTCCAGCAGCTAGTCCTTCTAGACGTTTCCGGATTGCCAGGTTCTCTGCAGCCTCTGATTGCTGCAGCTCACGGACGACGCAACCTACGCAGATTAAAGGTCCTCAAGGTGAGGCGTCGGGAGATCAACGACTCCTTGGCTTTGATGCTCTTCCAGGCTTTCAAGAGCTCGCTCTGGAGTCTGGACATCAGCGAAAACAGAATAACAGACGGTGTTGTCGGCCAATTTGCTGCACTTTGCTTCAATAGTCCATCTTTGAGGTCTCAGTCTCGATTCATGACCGAGGGCAAACCTATCTTTGATGGTCAAGGAAACGACACATTCGGGCCATTCATGTTCATCCAAGAATCCGACTCAAGCGCAACCTTTAGCGATGCAGAGCGGCACTTTGTGGATGCTCCCATTTACTCTGTCGCTGCGGGTCGCAATTTACAAGAAGATGAAGCAGTGCGAGCCAATGGCAGAACTCCGTTGAGGCGAGACAGTGTGGACTACGTTAAGGCCGCAACTGCGGGAGGCATGGATCATCCGGTGCCTGACTGGTCAGACCTGCCGTACCTCGACGTCTGCTCTGCACCCACCGGGATCACCCATCTGCACATCTCAGACACTCAAATCACTTCTTCAGGTGTGGAGAGACTGCTGCGTAGCTCGCAAGGCCAACTAGAAGAGCTCTCGTGCGATGCTCCGTTCTTTCTACCAGTCCAAGGATCTGCTTTGAAGCAGCAGCATCTCCTCCCATGGCCCAAGAACGTCACTCTGCGCGGCGCTCTGGGCTGCGCGCACGTCTTCAGGCCCGTATTCTCGTCCAATCTGCGTGTGCTGAGGATTCACCATTCGCTCGTGACGCAGATTCCGACACTTGAGACTGATGGGTTGTCAACCATGACACGACTCTGGCTAGCCGAGACAGTGGTCAGGGAACGATCTGAGATGGCCTTCCCACAGACATTCGAACCGGACATGAACCCCCGGCTGACGTCTCTGACTCTGACCAAGATCCCACGTCGCTCCAAAGGGCCACTGATAGACAAGCTTGTGCAATTTCTCACACTGGCTGGTCTCCAGGAACGCGCGATCCGAAAGACTGCCTCTCAATCATCATCGCGACGTTGTCCAGTACTCCTGCATGGCCTGCGTCATCTCCGTCTAGAGTTTGAAGCCGATCCCATTGAGGATCCGGCCGGCTTTTCAGCCGCAGACGACTTGGATGCGGAAGAGCTCTTGAATATGGGTGAGGGTGAGGGCTTCAGCTTCTTCGGCAACGAGCGCCGGCCTCAGCCACGGCCTGAAGCCACGAGGAAAAAGCAAGCAACAGCGGGCGACGAAGTCGCTACGCACCACACTCAGCCCGCCACAGTCCGTCTGAGCACATTCCCCTACAGCGATATCCAGGGCGTGTCTATACCCTACCGTGATACATGGGGCGGGAGTCAATTCGACCGGATAATCTGGGTTGGCGACGGCATTCTGGGGTCAAACCACCTTGCTGTCAACGAGTATATGAAACTTGTGACGAACCCACTGCTTAGAACCAGAGTAGGACCAGCCACTCCGGCGCACGTAAAAGCTGGCGTACCGGAAGGGGTTCTCATATTCCACGCGGCTTGGGACGCCATTGTCATGCCACCAGAGTTAAAACCTCCCAGAGCGGCAGAACTTCATGGTATGCGGGACGTCCTAGAGGCCATCAAGGCGTTTCGCATCGAGACTAGAGCAGCATACGAGGCTGCGAAGAAGGCTGCCGTTGAAGGCGTGGCAGAACTTGGCACAACCACCGGGCCACGACACTGCTTCTGGTCGGGAAGGCTTGAGGTCTCTGCGCAGCAGAGCATGGCACACTATCGAGCGCCTGGTTATTGGCGATGAGAAAAAAGAAAACCAATCTCCTTTCCGTCCAAAGTTTTCTCTTTCCCAACGAGTTTCTAGTGTTCCGTCTTACTCTCGTGTGAAGGCGCAATTTTTGGTCATTTGTGATATTTACTTGTTTTGAAATAAGTATGGACAGTGAAGCGAAATGTGGTCCTCAAGACAGCTTTCTTTTTGGCCCTCCCATATCTCACATGTCTGTCTCAGTTTCCAGTGGGCCTCCTCCCCCAATCCAACGTCACATGACTTTGCCCAGAACCCCGATCAGAAGCCTCTCTCTCAAGAAAGAGAAGCAGTGTAAGCAGTCGTGGTGAACTTGGCATTCGACCCGACAAACGGCTCGGTACCGGCGCCGATGCTCTGGAGGATCTGGGAGGAAGGCAGACCCTGGCTGTTGATGAGGTAGGTCGCGAACGCCTTGAGGTCACCGCTGAAGCTCTGGACGTTGCTGGGCGCGACGAAGCTGAAGACGGTCATCTGGCCGTTGACGCCCTTGTAGAGGTTCCAGGTGCGGCCGGCGACGGTCGGGGTGGCGATGGCGCTGCCGGTGGCGGAGATGGGGCCGGCGCCGCCGAGGGAGCCGAGCCAGATCATGATTTCATATTGGGCGGAGCCGGTTGCCGTGGAGGAGGTGAAGAGGTCGTAGGCTACGTTTGCTACGAGGCCTGTGCCGGAGTAGCTTTGGGCGTGTTAGTGGTCATCATACTTGATGGTTTTGATGTGTAGATAATGGCTTTGGTCTTTTCTCTTGGGGAAGGAGTACAGAGTGACGGAGTAACAAAACATACCTCCAGTTCCAGGTTGAGGGGATGCTGCTGATCGCGCTCAGGGCCTTCTTGCTGACGTTGACGACGGCGTTTGCGTACGACTTGACGTTGTACTGCCCGCCGGACCAGGACCAGGTCGTGGACCACTGCAGGTTGCTGCCGGAGAGGCCGGTGAGGGTGGTGCACTGGCTTCCGGTGCCCGAGGACATGCCCCAGAGGTTGTTGTAGACGGTGTAGGTGCCCGTGACGGCAGAGTCCCACTGACCGCAGTAGGTTGTCGCGCGCTTCTCGACGGTCGTCGGCGTCGGGCTGGCGAGAGCCAGGGGGAGGAGCGCGAGGATGGCGGAGAACTTCATGGTGGATGGGCAGAGGCTGAGAGAAAACTCGGTGTGATTGTTGGATAAGGAACTGGCTGGAAGCTCACAAGATGTGGTACCGGCGAAGGATGATCAAGTTTTATATGTCCTGCTTTTCGGTGTATCTATAGATGGTTCTATGTTGAACTTGACTTTGTTGGTCCCGGACTGCATCTTTCTGCCATTCATCTATTCTTGCGCGGGGTCCCCGGCATTGACAAGCAACCTCCCGCCAACATCACAGCTCATGTGGGAACATTCTATGTATCCGCACGAATCGTCACCAATGCCGAACCCGCTTCGTGGGCCTACCTTCCGCAATTGCCTCGGAAGGATATGCTAACATGATCACGAGAGTCTTCATCCCCTGGAGTTGGCACGGGAGAGTTACCAATTGGGACGATGATCATATCCGCTCTCGATATAAACTCTCCAGAACGGTAGGACGGACAGTGAGCTAGGCCCAGGGTGACGGCTCTTCATTGGCGGCTCCCATCGTGGTGCTGTCAAGACCCCGGGCGAGATCCATCCAGTTCGGGAGTTTTGGGAACCACGAATCAGGGCAACCCGGCTATTGGTGACGTGGGGAAGGGGAAACCGGGGCCGTGGATGAGATGATGCTCAAAAGGTTAAAGTTTCTTGGGACGTTCTACACAAGACTTCATGGCTGAGTTGATTATCTGATTAGCTATCATGAGAAAACTGGAGTACGAATCAGTTTTCTGTCTTCAAGGTGTTCTGAAAAGTCCACGGAAGCCCGTCACTTATCCTGAACTTTTTCGGCATCTCGTTCTTCTACAAACTACAAAGCGTAACTGCACAGCAGTTCTGTCCAGTCTTACCGACGTCACTTGGCGCCACAGCTACCCCGGCATGGCTTTCAACGCACGGGATTCGAGGAGATATAATCTGCCCTGGCACCCGTGCAAAGCAGCATGGACTGCCGGCGGAAAATGCGGGGTTAGACTGCCGTAATCTGTGCTGCTGCGCCGGGTGGTTCCCGCGATGTAACCGAGAAGAGTCGACTAGGTGGAGTTTGGAAGCTGGGGCAAGGCGGGATCTGGTAGCCGCGATTGGCGGGATTCGATCGGGCGTTAATTTACTGGAAACGCACCGGAGGCTTTTCGTTGCGTGCGAGATGCGAGGGTTCTGTTCCTTCTTCTCACGCTTGCGTGCGTGCGAACTGCTGTTTTTCTTCTGTTGGGGAGATTGAGTGTGAAGGTTTGGTTCACAACTTCGCTCTTGATGCTACGGACGTACACGGCTGGCTCTGTGCAGGCACGGAGTTTAGAGACGAATCTCAGTTTACCCTCATTCCAAATCTCTCGATATTTTTTGATCTAGCTCAGCGTTGGTAACGATAACGGGCTCGCTTGATCGGCGCCTGTGCGATTTCGCTTGTGCACGGCTTCGAGACCTGTCATTTCAATGTGCATTTCGTACGTGCGCACCCGATCTGATTTCCTAGACTCTTCTTGGCTGGCGTTGGCTCTGCGTGATTACGTGATTACCTAGAATCTGATCCAGCCCTGGAAAGGAAATTGCTTTGGTCCCTGGATCCTACGATGCCTGTTCCCTGGCAGACCATCTGACGGCTCTGACCCTACATTCGCTTATCTGACTGAGCTGGATATCGAGACATGACGCGCAGGTTGGAAGCATAGTTCTGCAATCTGTTAGGCCTCCCTTTTCTTCACGTGAAATCCAATAGTATGCAGATTCATTTGCCAATGAGGTGCTCGTTCGCGTCATTGTTATGATTTATTAATGAAGGTGATGTAGTCATCGCAGTCGAGTCATAGTAGCCCCCTCATGCAACTGGCCATGTAATGGTTGAGAGATTGCTAGCACAAGTGTCTCACTGGAGGAGCTTCCAGTGAGTTTGCTGGCTGTTCCGTAAAGTTCATGTTGAACGTGGAACTCTTCCAATCTGAATTCGATCATATTGCAGCTAGTAATGATATGAGGGCACAAAAGCAAACGCGGAGAGGCCCGACCTCATGGTGGCGTTGCTGAAATCCAGCTGTGTCTAGCTCACATCCTCATGACCTGGGGAAGAAGGGCTAGGCGAGCTCAAGAACCGCTCATGGCTTTCGTGCGAGGGAAAAACCAAGAATCGCTGCTTGCAGGACGAGATGTGATAGTGGCTCGGAGAAACTCTCACCCACAGTTGTCGATACTTGGTTTTTCTGCGCGCTTGTGTGAACGCCTTCCTACTAGGCTCGGCCAGCAAGCCATCTGGGGACGTGAATTGGTTCTGCACTTGGAATATTTGGTTTTTCTTCGTATCTGCAGAGCGAGCCTCGCGTGGAGAGCGCCGAACCGGACTATTTTGACGGCATATGAGATGTGAGGGAAAAAGGTTGGTCTATCACACCTACCAAAGACAGGGGACGGTGCGATTCGTCTGCGCCACTTGGCATACGCCATCGACTATCTGTATGTACCTGTCCAAGTAAGAAAGCGCCTCATTCTAGCCTCGGAGACAGGACGCGTCTAGCTCGGACGAGGGACTGGGGGGCCTCTCGGAGGTCAAGGTGGTGATCTTCGGCGCTGCCATCCCACGAATCTGGGAAGATCTCCTTCGACCCTGTTATGTCTTGGTTGTCTACCTGACCTTTCCTTGTTTTGTGGCCGCGGACGTGCGTCGTGCCTGAGCCGGTGGAGACGCGTCGCGATGGTGGTGATGTTTGGGTAAGATGGTGAGAGGGGTGGTGGTGGTGTGTGTTGACAATTGGCACATTGGCTAGCGGCGGGTTCATCTGAGTAGCGTAGCCGATGGCATAGACTCAACTCTAATCAGATATCATTGCTTTTCATTCTGCTTGGAGGGGCGTGTGCAGTCATGTCTTTTGATATTGATTCTGTCTTGGTATATCGACACTCAAGAGGGTTGATCTAGGATGCGTTCAGGGGATGGAGGTCCCGGTTCCGAGGAATGGAATTTGAGTTGCCGAATCCCTGAAGGCGACTCAACACCGGCGCTTGTCTCATCTGTCCTGCGTTCCCGATCGGAAAGAGAACAGGGGACTCTCTAGAAGGGGTGGTCGGTTCCACGTGCTCGGGACCAGACTATGAATCGCGGAACTTCCTAAGCCTGACTTTTGTTTGTAGAAAAGAGGCTCCAAGAGAGGAGAGAAAAGGGTGGTGTAGGTGAAAACGCACTGTGGCAGGGGTCGAGGAGAGACGGACTGAGACTTGTGGCGTACGCCGGCCGGTACGGGTTTTACGCGGCGACGGGCGGCCGGCCTCCACTAGGCCCAGAACATGAGAGTGGGTTAAGGACAATTGGGGATGACTGAGGAACGAACGGAACCACGGAACGTCGTTCATCGAGGAATGGAGGAATGGGTAAAATCGCGCGGTGCGGGAGCCAACAGGAAGAGCGATTTGCCGCAAGAGGGTGCCCGTTGGTGGCTTGTCTGCCTCCTCCACAGAGGATGGGCTGGACTCGGCGTTCCCAGAATCCTCACGACCTCTTATCAGCAGCCATCATCCGCGGCGTTTTGAGGGGTCCAGACATGAACCGGCGGGAATGTATCGGATGGAGCACTTGCGGGCTCTAGCCGTTGCCCATGGGCTATCGTTTTGACTTGTTTCTATTGTCTTCCACGAAGGCTATGCGTGGTTTTCTTTGTTCTTCGGAGGGGAGCTATTCCCACGCGTTCCTCTTGTGGCAACAATGCCGCGGCAATGCCACGACCGTTGATTGAAACACACAAAAGGCGTTTCTGGGGAAGCGTTGGAAGCCAACTTCTGAGAAGCGGTGGTGTCTTTAGTCTTGCGGTATTCGATATTCACTCGCTTATAATACTTGCGTTGCGGGCAATGATGATTGCCATTGCCCTGGATTTCTTCATCGCCGACTGCAGTAGGTTAGGCGATCACAATGCAGCTTCGGTTCTGCTTCTGGTGGAGTCCTATCCTCATTTGCAATAAAATTCATCAGTATACGGGGTTTATGTCGCATGTGGACTGGCCGACGGGCGTATCAGCTGCACTTCAGATTCTTGCTATATGCATGTCTCTGCCACTCATGCAGCTTAACGATTCGGGACATGCACAATTACCCTCGGTGGTTGAATATGCCCCCCCTGCTCTCTCGCCCAGAGACGAGGCTTCGGATTTTTCTACGCTAGGGAAAGCTGGAAGATGGGATCCGGGGAATGCAGGTTGGTCCTCATTGGGTAACTGAAAGGCCCAATCGAGTATAACCTCGTTCTTGTCTCTAATTTTCGGTGTCGGACTTTTGCGACAGCTGGGTTTCGATGGGTGGTTAGTTGGTTCGGCAATCCACCCGTCAAAGAAGGGGTACTCGGGGTTCGTGCTGCTATTGGCAGCCCAGGCCCAATGACTTTTGACGTGAAGCGAGAGAGAGAGAGGAGAGGCCTGCAGAGTGGAGAGATTGACGGACAAAGTGGATGAGGCAACATGTCTCTCAGTATTTGCGTTTTGTGCATTAGTGCCTCGGAGCTGAAAGATGCAGCTACTGCAGGATTCACCAGGGGTTGATGCAATCGAGATCTACATGACGAAAAGGAGATCGCCTGCATATTGAAAGGCGACTTTGAATTCCTGATGGGGGTTGAATGTCATTCGATGTCAGGTAGATATCGCCATTCTGATGTCTTTCGCAAGTTGAACTCCTCACCGTGGTATGACCACAGGGCCGAAGGTCTGCCATCAGAGGTCACGCCACAGATGCTACCTTGTCCTCTTTGGACACTGTGGCTTTTTGACGAAATATGATTCTTGAGATTGCTTGGGTCTGAGGGGCTTGCCACACAAGGCCACAGCGATATCAAGGTGATTCCAACAAAAGGTTAGAGGCGAGCTCCTGGACGATATCGTTTCCCAGAAGGCTGTCCTCTTGATATCGTCGTCACCATTGATGATTGTACCTAAGATGAGGGACGAGTTCATGGCTGCACCGCACGTATCAATGCCCGCCAATGCTTGTCCCTGACACTGTTCTTCGAATACTATTGAACACAAAAGGAAGATCTTGTGCGGGAACTAAGACCGTCATTCTGGCCTCCTCCCAGGTTCATAACGATGCCCGACTTCTAACTGAAGTAATCGCAAGGTCTCGATTCCATTCAAAATCTTTGATAGTTTTAGGGAATTTTTGTTGACAATCCCTGGTGCCCTTGTTGCTGATGAGGCCGGTATGCCTAGGTGACTTTCCTGGTCTCAATGTCGGTCATAGTCATC